TGAATCGTTTATGATTTTAAACATCACAAAGGAAGAAAAAAGACAAAAAAAAAAAAAACTCTAAAATGCGTGATTAGGATGTAACCGCCCTCAATCTAATTATCTATCATTGAAAATTCATATGAAGATTAGATAGTGGAAGAAGATGAATACTGTACATAAATAGATACATGTGTTTGTACCAAAAAAATCACCCTAACCGTGGGAAAGAAAAGGGGTAAAAATCTCTCAAACATAAAATATCAAACGATTGTGGATGAGTTCCAAAACAAGTCTCGAACAAGGAATCGAGGACTTACGGTTTACTTTGGTTCGTAAAAATAAAGAAAAATAAAAAAGGGAGACATAGTAGAACAAGCCAAGCAGCTCGATTTATGTATATAAAAGGGGAAAAGACTCCAGCGCTGACAGGGAACTCCTGCTCGATGGCACGCTATTACAACGACTCAGATATTAGCGCCGACTATACGTACCCGATGACACGCTATGACACGGACCAGAGACACTAGCGCCGACACGGAAAACCATATCGATGGCACGCTATTACAGAGATATGAAATTCACTGAAGTTGAATTCATGAACGACTACCTATTTCTATGAAGGAAAAACAGGCAAACACCTATAGTGCGTTAGGGCTTACATCGAAAAAGAAATAATAAATAAGATGATGATAAAAGGAACTGAAAGAAAGAAAAAATAAAAGAGGCGTCGGAGGCCTTGTGTTGTTGTTGATACTCGTGAGATGATGTTGATGTTGTGTGAGTGCCTTCTTATATAGAGAGGAGTTGGCCGTGACTTTCTTCCTTGAAAAGAAAAGAATTCCCAACTCGTAGGTGCGCTAGGGCTTACACCTATTTTTATGAAGGAAAAACATGCAAACACCTATAGTGCGCTAGGGCTTACACCTATAGTGGCCGTGACAATCATCTATTGTAATCTTGTCTTCCCCTCTCAGTGCATGATTGTGGAGTGTTGTTTCGTGTCTTTGTTCTTTTATGTTCTTTGAACTGCAAGTTTTGTACTGGTACTTGAATCTTGTGATATGAGAAGGTGATTATATTGCTTGTATATGAGCTAATTGGATTGAATTGATTGACTATTCTACTCGGTTGTGTATTTTATCACGCCGAGGCTACTATTGTCTTGGTTTGTCTAGTAAAACAAATACTTGTGCATGAATTGCCATAAAATTGTTAAAACTTGGATGTGTACATTATCACACTAGTCTTGGGGCCCCGCTACCATAGATTAATTCCAACGGGTCGGCGATGCGCACAAACGTATGGATAGACTATGGATGGCTTTAGTAGGCATGCACGAGCTACGAGTACTTGATTGTTGTGGCCACTTGGAGTGACGGGTTATTGTTATTGTACTTGAAATGTAACTTGAACACCAATTGGGAATCTAACTTGGAGGACAGCCCAAAAGACCACATAGGTCTTCGGCAGACTCCAGTTAAGATCCACACGTATCCTCATGAGAATATGTCAAATGGCCTCGGATAGGGTCATCTATTATGTGCTAATGTGACTGAATGTTTTTTTTCAAATGCAGTTCATCACGTAGATCATCTACTTTATTGGTCTAACAGTTATATTGATAGAACTGTGTAGACAGTGTTAATAAATGAAAATGATGGATAAAAATGAACCGTGTGAATAACTATATGTGCATGTGACTTGATTACCGTATTCAGCGCGAGAAATTGGAAATTGTTGTCTGAGGTATTCACTAGGCGTTTAGCTCATCTCATTAATCTTTTCCTAGGTTAGCAAGTAAATGGAGTTCGCTTAAAGTTTTGGCCCGAAGATAGTTAGTGAACATTTCTCTAGTTTAAGGGCATGCAATGTTAAGATAACTTTAAATTTTAAAAATAGTTCTGGTTGTAATAAATTCTTCCGCTGTGTAAATTGAAATTTAAAAATGTAATAGATTTAGTTAGTTCTGTATCACCATGCCTTGGGCAAGAGATTGCCCGGCGGGCGGCTCAGTTGGTCACCAAACACGATAAATAGTCGTGTTGGGGACTTGAGTCGTCACAGACACCAATGACGAAATCGGCATCAACATAAAGCCCGCTCGAGGCACAATATATTTGGAACAAATATTTTGTGCCTGTGTAACTAGAAGTCGAGCCAACAATGAATCGGCCTGTTGTGATAGTAACTCCTGATGATGCTGTGTCGGAGGATAACTGCTATGTCGGAGGTATGACTGCTAGAACTCTGTCGGCTGGAACACCTGCAGTGGCTAGCCCCCCCGAGACTCGAGAAAAAAATAGACTTTTTTTTTATATTTTCGAAAAAAGTAAAAGACTCCCACGATGTAAAAATCAAACCAAAGCTCGTCCCACTAGGCATGTCATTATGTTTGTATTGAAAAAATCACCCTAACCGTGGGAAAGAAAAGGGGTAAAAATTTCTCAAACATAAAATATCAAACGATTGTGGATGAGTTTGAAAACAAGCCTCGGACAAGGAATCGAGGACTTCTGGTTTACTTTGGTTCATAAAAATAAAGAGAAAGAAAAAAAGAAAGATATAGTAGAACAAGCCAAGCAGCTCGATTTATATATATAAAAGGGAAAAAGAGTCTAGCGCCGACAGGGAACTCCCGATCGATGACACGCTATTACAACGACTCAAATATTAGTGCCGACTAGACGAAGCCGATGACATGCTATGACACGGACTAGAGACACTAGCACTGACACGGAAGTCCATATCAATGGCACGCTATTACAGAGATATGGAATTCCCTAAAGTAGAATCCATGAACGACTACTTATTTCTATTAAGGAAAAACAAGCAAATACCAGTAGTGCGCTAGGGCTTACATCGAAAAGGAAGTAATAAAAGACTTGATAATAAAAGGAACTAAAAAAAGAAAAAGAAAAGATAAGGAGGCGTCGAAGGCCTTGTGTTGTTATTGATGTGATCGTGAGATGATGTTGATGTTGCGCGGCTGTCTTCTTATATAGAGAGGAGTTGGCTGTGAATTTCTTCCTTGAAATGAAAAGAATCCCCACCTCGTAGGAAGCCCACTTCTGCCATATTAGTTTCATTATAAGAATAAACTAGTTAATCAAATTAATTGATCAATGCCCACGCGAGTAGTAGCTTCCCAACCATGTACTTGGAGCAAAAGTCGAGTCCGTATCCAGTGCACCCGGGTGCACCGTATACCCCCCACCAAACACACGCGCATCACGCGCCTATTTGCTTTTACCTTTACATTAAATGCACACAAAATATTGTTTTCATCCATTTCATCTCCACGCACAAACACACAGTCGTCGGAAACTCTCCATTTTAGGGCAAATACAAAATTGACAACCACCACAAAATAACAGAAAGTCGACGGAAAACCTCCGCTGGAAGACGATTTTGATAACTTCATCTTCTCTCTGCGTTTTTTCATTTTGTCAGTCTGTTCTTTCACAAACACACACACACACACACACACACACACACACACACACGACGACGAGAAACCCTAGCTCCGGCCATCTCAAGCTTTCCTTCATCTATACATGCTTCACTAGTAAGTATATTACTCCTGGATCCTATTTTTTTTGATTATCCAGCAATATTTTGTGTTTATCCACTAGATCTGAATTAGTTATCCATGGTTTCCTGCGTATGCTACGTGATGGTTGTCCATGCCATAATTGCTGGTTATCTACCTATTTCATACTGGTTATCCAAATAGCATATTGGTTATCCACCCATTTCATATTGGTTATCCAGAATTTGTATACTAGTTATCCAGAAGTTGTAAACTGGTTATCTACAAGTTGTAAACTGGTTATCCATGCTTTTTTTACATTTGATTCTATGTGGTATGGACAAACTGAACTGGTTATCCATGTTTTTGTTTCTGGTTGTCCACCCATTTGTCCAAACTGAACTTGTCCAAACTTTGTTTCTGGTTATCCACCCATTTTATACTGGTTATCCGCAGGGTGTAAACTGGTTATCCATTGTTTTTTTTAGATGTGCTTTTTTGTGGCTACATGTCCATACATTATTTGCTGGTTATCCATCCATTTCATACTGGTTATCCACAAGTTGTAAACTGGTTATCCACAAGTTGTAAACTAATTATTCACAAGTTGTAAACTGGTTATCCAAAGTTGTAAACTGGTTATCCATGCTTTTTTTACATTTGATTCTATGTGGTATGGACAAACTGAACTGGTTATCCACTATATATCTGAACTGGTTATCCAAGTTTTCCTGCCTGTGTGCTATGGGGTGCTTGTCCAAACTTTGTTTTTGGTTATCCACCCATTTTATACTGGTTATCCGCAGGGTGTAAACTGGTTTATCCATTTTTTTTTAGATGTTCTTTTATGTGGCTACATGTCCATACATTATTTGCTGGTTATCCACCCATTTCATACTGGTTATTCCTTTTTTGATTACTGCTCCTTTTCATATCCTCTTATTTTGTCCACTGACTTCTTAGTGATTGTCCAATGCCAACAGTGCCCTAAAGGAGGCTAGAACAAAACATAGGCACGAGTGGATCAGCGGAAGCCACGACCTTAACAACAACCCAGACACATCACCGAATCCTGAAGCAGAGATAATGGAGCTCCCTGAAGGAACGCTGACCATATTTAAAAAAAAAAAATCAACCCAAGAAGAACAGTCCCCTGTTCGAAGTCCAAGGCCCCACAACTTGTGAAGGAAACCAAAGAGAAAAAAGAGCACGCCGACAGGAAATCCAAAGCAACTTGTGGTTGCTGATGACAATGACTCGGCTGATGATAAGAAGCCCAAAAAGAAAAGAACAAAACCTGAGAACAAACAGATCATTGGTCAAGATCCACAGCCAATCAGTTCTGAAGATTCTGTCAAGAAATTTGAGAACAGGATGACACCAAACCATCTCTTCCAACTCATCACTGCAATCAATAAACCAAGAGATCTTACAAAAGAGCCAAATGCTGTAGATTATCGCCAACTAACAAAGGCAGGCTATCAGAGATATGGGATTTGACGCCTTGGTTGATCTCAAAATAAAAAATATTCCAACAGCCTTATGTAGTTTTCTGGCAAACAACTTCCAGACCGGTGCGAGACAAGTCCCATTGAATGGCAACAATGTACTGGATATCAAACAGGAAGATGTTGTTGCTGTACTTGATCTTCCTCGTGGACCCAAACCAGTGGAAGAATTCAAACAGAACGATCCCGCTATAACGGACCACGCTGAGATGGTGGATGCATTCAAGAAAAGAATGGGATACAGTAATAAATTCCTGCCAACGAGATCCACGGCAGCACAATTAATTGCTGGTCGAAAAGATTTTGGTGATGACTTCAAACGAGATTTCCTGGTCTTCATTGTGAGCACATTCCTACATGGAAACACCACTTCCAAGATAATAATGAACATCCTGAAGTCACTTTTGAACATGAATGAGGTGACAGAATACAATTGGTGTCAATATGTGATTAATGCACTGGTCAAAGGATGCAAAAGTCACCATGATGGGAAACCATTCACCGGACCAATCACTTTTTTTTCTGGTACTTACCATACGTACAAATTTTACTAGTTATCCATATTGCTTGCAATGTTTATCCAATTTGCTTGTACTGATATCATTAACACTAACTTTTTTCTTTTTTTTTTTTTGTTAGTTGTGCTACCTTGACAGGTGTGAGTATGAGAGAGCACATCCGAGGTCATTCCCTGTGATCAAATGTTGGGATCAAAAGATGCTGGACGACAGATTAAGACTTCAGGGAAGTAATTTCACAGATGTCTAGACACTTGAACGTCTCAAGAAACCGTCCTCAGCAGCATCCCGAGATGAACACCCAGAGGGGGAATCACAGAAGGAGGATACACAGGCCAACCCCAACACACAACAAGTCTATGTAGTGTTCTACCATTTTTTTCAGATTACACCTACGTATCCAACCTAGTATCTCCACATTCCACTAACTACATTCACTTTTGCAGGACCTTGTTGCTCTTTATGAAAAATTCTACCAATTGATTATCACGATGAGCAAAACTATTTTAGACATACGTGAGAAGGAAATGGAGTTAAAAATTGAACCAGATGAACAAGCAAAGCAAACAATCAAGATCCTAACAGATGCAATGGTGTCAATGAGTAGAAAGATGCCTCCGCCTTCAGGTACAACGCAACACCAACAAGAGCAGCAGCAAGCCCAGCAAGACCTCCAGGATGCACAGATTTTTGAATTGTGTGAGATGGCAGGGAAGGCCGCTGAAAGTAGGTTTGTAACAATAATAGAATAGCTGCAACGACAAGTAGCTGACCAACAACAACAACAACACCAACAAACTTGTGACAACACTGTACAAGCTCCAATTAATCCCACAAATTTTCAAGACATTGAAGTTGACAAAGCACAAGGACTGGAGCAATTGAGCCAGACAAATGATGAGGATTCTCTTCCAGGGGGGAAATCCGTGCCTACTTCAAAAGAAGTGGTGGTTGATGAACAACAAACTCAACAACAAGGTAATGAATATTTTTTTAATGAAACAAATACTTGTTTGATGTGATTGTACTTGTCATCCAACTAATTTGTACTGCTTATCCAACCCCTTTTTTCCCTTTAAATGGTTATCCATTGTGTTCCTGCCGATTATCCGGCCTATTTAAACTGATTATCCACTTCGTTTGAACTGATTATCCAATGTGTCTAATATATATGTATGTTCGTACTGATTATCCAACATTCCAACTTTGCACTGCAGCACATGGAATGAATATCTCCACAACAGAAAAGAAGAGATCCTATCAAGATTTTACCGGCCGGGATTCAGGTGTGACATCCACCTATACCAGAAGGTCGAGAAGCACTGGTACCAGGAAAAGGAAAGTATTCAAAGACCCAACTATCCCACACTTTAACCTGGATATCTTCTCCAGTCAGGAAGACAGTTACGAGACAATCCAGGAGAAGAACACTGAGGAAGATATCACAGGAAGTGTTGATTTGGATAAAGATGTCAATGAGACTATAGAAGCAGAAGAATATCCAGTACCATCTGTACTCGGCGAAACAAAGAATCCTACTCTTTCCATTGACGAAATCATAAGAAGGGCCAGTTCACCAGCTTCAAAATCATTAAGTGAGACCAAAAAACTAGAGATGATTGCCGCTGCTGCAGAAGAAGTTGAGAAGAACTCAAACGTGGTTGAAGCAGTCCCTTTAAGCATAATTCCACCTGATTGGAATATTGCTTCTACCACAGATGGTCTAGTGATGCTGGAGAAAAATGAGTGTACCACGCCACCGCCTGCAATCTCAAAGGAAGCTGATGAGCTTGATGAAGAGTTAACAAAGACAGTGGAAAAGTAAGTTTGATCCACTGTGACTCCCCACTACAAGATAGAAAGACGAATTTACATACTAACTCTCTTTTGTTTTGTCCTAGGATCCTCAATGAAAAACCTAAGAGGAGAAATTCACCAAGAGTCCACCGGTTGCCCGAACGGTTCAGGTCGCCGTTCATATTATAGAAGAAAAACAAGAAAAAATTCATACAGTGGACAGAGGAGAAGAAGAAAATGACCCAAGAAGAAGCCCTGTTGATAGAGTTCGCTCTCCTACAAAGACAAGAAGAAATAGTTAAATCAGGGTAAAAGTCACCATTCTTACCCGTGGGATAAAAAACCTTACCAGTTTTTCAACTATTTGTCTATTTGACTACTTTTTCTGTGCAGGAAACTCTTGTTTGAATTTGGAAAAATCGTTTGGGCAGACAGGACAGGTTTCTATTCCATGAGGGAAGGGACATGTATAGAAAACAGCATCATAGATGCTTGGGTTGTCATCCTAAACAAAGAAGAAGCTAAGAGTGACTCCCCAAGACGGATATTCTTTGGTGTTTCGTCATTTGTAAGTCAACTAAACCCTCATTGTTTATCAAGCCCTGGTAAAATACTTGTCACATGTCTGCAAGTTGTTTATCCAAAGGCTTTCTACTAGTTATCCAGCCATAACGGGTGGTTATCCAGAATGTGTAAACTAGTTATCCAGAGATAATTGCTGGTTATCCACAATGTGTAAACTAGTTATCCAGCCATAGCGGGTGGTTATCCAGAATGTGTAAACTAGTTATCCAGCCATAATTGCTGGTTATCCAGAATGTGTATGGGTGGTTATCCACAATCTGTAAACTAGTTATCCAGCCGTAATTGCTGGTTATCCACAATGTGTAACCTAGTTATCCATGCCTTTTTTTAGTTGTGCTTCTATGCGGCTGCTTGTCCATACATTATTTGCTGGTTATCCATCATTGTTGTATAACTTACCTACCTACCAGTAATCATCAGGAAGATCATGCACGACCACTAACACTTATTATCCAATTTGTTACTAATGCTTGTCCACCAGAGTTGAACTGGTTATCCAAGCCTTCTATGTGGTGGCTTGTCCATGATTCATTTGCTGGTTATCCATCTTTTCTGTACTACTTATTCACAAGATCTGAACTGGTTAACTGTTCCTTCTTGTGTGTCATCTAGGGTACTTTGGTTGACCTTGTATGTGCTTGATTCCGATCATTATTTTCTACTACATTTTCCAACCATTATACTGATCATTGTATCATTTTCCAACCATCTCAAACAATAATGCAGGATACAATCAGTCGATACTATTAACAGGGCAGTAACAAAGAGGAAATCGAGTTCACATTCTATGAGAGGTTGGGTCTTGAACTAGAAGAACAAGGCCTTACTGTAGCATCCCTATTAGCGGCAAAAGTTGTAAGCAACATCTTTCACCTCCTTCACTCTTTCGATAACTGGCTGTTAAAAAATTTTCATATGATTTTCCCCTTCAATATGAAATATCAGATCTACTTTCCAGTACACTACCGAGACCATTACTTCTTGTATGTGTTGCTGGTTGAAGAAAAGAAAGTACTTGTCCTCAACAATATTCATGCAAAAGATCTGGACAACTACAATCCAACGAAAGATCTACTTGTGAGTGAAAAAAAGATACAAGATGATTGTCATAGTTTAAGAATTATCCATTTTATTTTGCTGATCCTTGGATTTTATGGCATCACAGTTTCGGGTCTTCAAAAGCTATGTTGCATGCGTGTTTCCACGCATAGAACTGGTCAGTGCTCAGTATACCTTCACAGAGGTTACACTACCATCGCATAAGGACAAAACGCCGAATGCGGAAGATTGTGGAATATACACAATACACCACATGGAGCGGTATGATGGTGGTGAGTACGAGGATGGTACTACGTTGGATTTCAACACAGGAAACATCAAAGAGTACCAGTGGAAATACATGATAAAAATCCTTATGCACCCAGCCAACAAAAATAAGGACAAAATCCTCAAAGTAATGCACCAATTCTATACAAATACTGCTGAAGAAGAACAAAAAGAAATTTCAGATCATGTTGATTTAAGTAGCAAATCTTACTACAATGACAGAAAAATTTAGGGATGGGTTAAATGAACTGTCATTATGTTCTCTTGTACAATTGATTGACTGTTGATTCTAAAGTGTTTGATATCCAACAGCTGTGTACTGGCCATCCTAGTATATTATCCAACCGTTTGTAATGGTTATCCAGGATCTTTGTACTAGTTATCCAACTTGTTACACCTGATTATCCGAATGTTTTATAGTGGTTATCCAGTCAAAAAAATGCAAGTACAGTCTGTAACCTGATTATCCAAAAAGACATAACAAAAGAAAATATCCATAAGAAAATAACAAGACAATGTATTTTGGTTGTCCAAATATTTCTGTAAATTCCCAAACAACAAAAACTGAGTGTCCCAATTTGTTGGTCTTTCTACTTCTTTATTAAACTGCCTATCCTATGATGTTATACTGCTTATCCAATATTTCTTTGCTGATTATCCAATACTCTGTATTGATTATCCAGGACTTTTGTACTGGTTATCCATCCAATGTGCAGCAATATCCAACCGTTTGTAATGGTTATCTAGGATCTTTGTACTAGTTATCCAACTTGTTACACCTGATTATCCGAATGTTTTATACTAATTATCCAGTCAAAAAAATGCAAGTACAGTCTTTAACCTGATTATCCATGAGTTTATACATGTTATCCAAAACCTCAATACTGCCTATCCACCATGTGGACATAACAAAACAGGGATTCAGACAGGACTTCCAAAAAGACATAACAAAAGAAAATATCCATAAGAAAATGGCTATCCAAATAGCATGTTCAGTGGGGGGCTTCGCCCCCCATGATAAACTAAACGACTCCCGCGGCTACCGGAATCGCAGGTCACCAACCTACCCCGGCCGCGCCGCCACGCCGAACACGCCAATGTAGATAAGGTAATCCTTTTTTCGTGTGTTTGTAAGGAAAGTGTGTTATTGCATTAAGAGGGGACACAAATTACTTGTATAAATCCCTCCGTGATAAACTAAATGACCCGACTGCGCCGCCATTCGCGGCTGTGCCGCCCCCATGCCGAACATGGCAAATTTCATGAATAGTATTTAATTGAATGAGGGGCAGTTTGCCAAATGATGGAGAACAAAAAATGAATGAGGGGCAGCTGGATAATCAGTGTAAAAAATACGGACAAGGATATCTAAGAAAAATATAAAAGGAAAAAAATGATAGTCCACGTTGTCAACAGGTTTGAATGCTTATTGAATTTTTACTTTGTTTTTATTCTTTATGAAAAATACTTGTCCATAGTGTCAACACTGGTTATCCAGCTGTGTGTAACTGGTTATTCATAGTGTGCACACTGGTTATCCACATTATCAATACTGATTATCCAACAGGTTAATAATGGTTATCCAGTTATTTTCTAATGACATTCAAACTTGTTTGTACTGGTTATCCAAAATGGTTATCAGAACTTGCCCAATGTGTTAGTACTGATTATCCAAACGGTTTGTAATGCTTATTGAATTTTTACTTTGTTTTTATTCTTTATGAAAAATGCTTGTCTATAGTGTCAACACTGGTTATCCAGCTGTGTTAAACTGGTTATCCATAGTGGGAACACTGGTTATCCACTATGTCCATACTGGTTATCCACAGTGTGGAGCATGTTACTGTGTATAACTGAAAAACCACATGTTTTGTAATTAAATAGAATTTAAAAGATTGAGGGAGTAAAAATAAAAAAAGAAAACTAAAAAGGCTCATGTTTGTGCAGAGTACATCATGATCTAATTGGTAGTTACAGAGCCACACGTTTTTACATGGTATGGATTGAATAAGGATCAGTTACATAACTGTCATTAAATGAGTTTCTTGATTATCACAATGACAGTTAATGAATAGAGAGTGAGAAGACACTGATTTGTGAAAAAAGATAAGACTGCATGGGTAGTTAATCCGTCAAACTACGTCTGTATAAACTACCTCATCTCCACATACAGCATTTCTATAAAACTCCCTGACATCTCCACATACAGCATTTCTATAAAACTCCCTCATCTACACATACACCAGAACGCCTGATTTGAGCATCCAAAACATCCAACAGCCAGAAAAAAATGAAAAACGAAAAAATTTCCTCAAATTCCACAACCAAACAAATGTGCCCCAGGCAAGCAAAGCAAGAAAAGAACAACTACCCTGAATATATCCATCACGATATGCTTGATAATATGTTCATTAATCTGACATTGGAAAAGATTGGTGAGTTCCGTCGTGTCAGCAAAGCTTGGGAGCAAATGACAAAAAGACAAGAATTTGTTCTTAAAAAACGTGAGATGAGCTACCCTGCAACTGAAAACAACATCCTTGTTTTCACTCAAACAAGCCAAGAAGGTCACCTTTTGCAAGACAAGCTAATCGCCACCAACATAAAAGTGCAAATGGATAACCCATGCAACCACATACGATTGCAAGAAGAGATGTCGATGGGTGACGACGGCATCCATAAAATCATGCCTATCACCAAAGATTCGGTCTGTCTGCAAACCAGGTCTCAAATCAAAATCTTGAACCCAAAGACAACACAACTTGCATCAATTGAATAGCCATATGATGTCCCTCTCAGCAATTGGAAACAGCATTTGGGTACGTATCATCCTCAAAAACTTACGTTTTCATGGCCCTTATTGCCGATGAAAAAAACATGCAAGGCTGCATTTTTTCTTTTCAAAGTTGTTCAAGTATTCATAGAGGGGAATTGAAAACACTTTGCAATGTATGTCCCCGCCTTGTATCTGATCGAACCTGGTTTGATAGATATGTGTACTGGCGTGTAGACAAACTATCCTCTGAAATAGCAACACCTCAAGAGTTGCTGGTCGTGTTTGACTACCACACTCAACAATTCCAAACCACAAACTGCCCTCCATCTCCAATCTTCTTTAACCCCACTGATTCTTATCATATGAATCTCCAAGTGAAAATATTGGACTTCCAGGGGACTTTGTGTGTAATAGATGAGTACCACATTACTCAGAATCATCACTGTCAGATGTGGGTGTGGGATCTAGATACTTCCACATGGGATTGCATGTTTGAGACCCATGAATTCCCAAATGTGAATACACATGTTCCACACGGATTACAGTTCCGTCATGATTGGCTTTATCCAGTGTTTCTAAGCCACAAATCATCTCCAGCAGTACAGTTCATTGTCAAAGGATACGATAATCGACATTTGCTGTTGTATAGTGTTCCTACCAGGAAAATCACACACTCAAGTACATCGCCGGATCTAGAAACCAGTTTCATCATTACAGCATGTTACTTCTGGGAGACATTAACACACTTTTAGGATTTTTTTTTTCTTTAAAAAAATTTATCTTCCCCTTGTTAACTTATTACTGAAAATAATTGTCCATTGATCTTATACTGGTTATCCCAGGACTTTGTACTAATTATCCACATTATCTATGCTGGTTATCCAATGATATTATTTGTGAAGAAAGCGTGTTCAACGTGTTCATGTCTTTTTTGTAATATCTATATGCATTTAAAGTTGCATATCCGGTACAAGCGAGTTGGATATCCAGTATAGACGAGTTGGATATCCAGTACAAACGAAATGGATATCCAGTTCAAATGAAATGGATATCCAGTACAAACAAGTTTGATAGGCATACAAACCAAATGGGTGGATATCCAGTACAAACAACTTGGATAACCAGTTCAAACTAGTTGTATAATCACCATGATCACAACGGATAACCAATTTAAAATAACCACTTGGATAACTAGTACAAACAAAATGGATAACCAGTTCAAACTGGTTGGATAATACTGTAATCTAAAATAAATAATACTTTTTAAATAAAAATCTTTACACCATCAATACTGTTCATTTCAACATCAAGTAAAAATACTAATAAAATATCGTGTTGATGAAACGATGCGCTCCAGCCTCCCTGGCAGCTTCCCTTCGGTTAGGAAATGAGAACCCACCAAAGTTTTGATTCATGAATGTCATGTTTTGATGAGAAGCATTCACAACAGCGGAAGCGCTTGCGCCTTGAAACTCCTGGCCAGCTCCCTTGGGAATTGGTAATGAGAATCCACCGGAATTTTGGTTGATGAATGGCATGCTTTGATGAGAAGCATTTACAGAAGTGGAAGCCCCTGCCCCTGAAAAATCCTAGGCAGCTACACTTGGATTAGTAAATGAGAATCCACCAGAATTTACGTTCAAAGGTGGCATGCTTTGATGGGAAGCATTCACAGCAGGAAAACTTCCTGAGCCTGAAAAATCTTGAGCAGCTCCCTTTGGATAAGGAAATGGCATGCTTTGATAATGCAGGTCTGATGCAACTAAAGCTCTTGTTCGGTCAGCAGCAATTCTTGCATTTGTTTTCCTGCCTCTGACTTTGTTACATGCCTTCTCAACAATACTTTTAGGACGTTCGTTCCTGGGACCAAACTTCTTCCTCTTTACAGCCGGATTCTTTATAACACCATCATTGTCTACAGACTCATCATTATTATTCGAACCAATGAAACTGCCGAGTTCTTCTTTAAGCCTGTCAACCGCCTCGTCACAACATTTCTTTGCATCTTTGTTATATTCATTTGCATACACCAAGTCTAAAAATCGTTTCATAATTAGCGCCTTCCACAGCAATGGCCCAACAACTTTTCCATCTCCCTCATTAGCTATGCTTGACCTGGCACCATAACCTTTTGTCCATCTCATACATATATAATCTTTAGGAAACTCATCAACAGAGGTTACATGACAGATTTGAAGAATGTGGCAACAAAGCATGCCCACCTCAGAGTAGTACCTGCACGTGCATGAGAATCTCTGTAACCTAGTGTCATGTACAACCACATGCTTAAAGTACTCTATCCCAAACCGCCAACCATTGTACGTCACAATATTGCCATCATTTGAGACCTCTAACTGCTCCTGCCTGCACAACATCTCATCTTTGTGCAACTGCTGAACCTCCCGAAATGCTTCAACTGTGTACATTCTGCAAATGCTCTCCAGGAAAGGGTCACCAGAAAGATATGAATCGATGTTTCCCAGGCTACAACGTAGATCTTCACCCCTCACAGCTACCCGCCAATAGTGTACAACATCAGAGAAAATTCCATGGAAATCACAAAGCGATGTGGCCTTCATTTTACGACAAATTGCATTATTTCTTGACTCGCTCCTCTGTGAAGACAAGGTACCACCAGAAAAAACATCTTTGCTAAATGCAGGGCACCACATATGCCTCACATCATAAATACCATTGAGCCATTTGTCATCATGATAATCATACTCATCCAATAATCTATGCACAACAATATAAAATACATGCATAAAAAGAAAAATAGTTAGATTATCCATATAGATCCACAAAGAAACATGTATATCCTTAGGCTTTCTACTGATTATCCAGTAATCATTTAGAGATTATCCAAAACATGGTACTATCTATCCATCAGTAACCCCTTCAAAACCCCTGCAATAATTTCCTAATGCTTACACAAAGGCTTTCTACTAGTTATCCAGCCATAACGGGTGGTTATCCAGAATGTGTAAACTAGTTATCCAGAGATAATTGTTGGTTATCCAGAATGTGTAAACTAGTTATCCAGCCATAATGGGTGGTTATCCAGAATGTGTAAACTAGTTATCCAACCATAATTGCTGGTTATCCAGAATGTGTAAACTAGTTATCTAGCCATAACAGCTGGTTATCCACAATCTGTAAACTAGTTATCCATGCCTTTTTTTAGTTGTGCTTCTATGAGGCTGCTTGTCCATACATTATTTGCTGGTTATCTATCATTGTTGTATAACTTTCCTACCTATAAGTAATCATCAGGAAGATCATGCATGACCACTAACACATACCCACACCAAAAAAAAAAGAGACACTCTTAATCATGACAATGATCAAAATAATAATAAAAATATTGACAAACTGACCTCCTCCATAATACCTCGAACTCGATTTCTGTTGAAGTGTATTTCATCAGATAATTAAAGTTCTTAACAAAATCTGGCTTGTTCCTTAAATGACCAATTCACTTTCTTGAATTTTCACCTATGTGCTATACACAGAGACGATGCCAAGAACTTGGAAAACATGTCCGAATACTTGCAGCAATGGAAGGTGCTTGATCTGTCATTATGGTTTGTGGCTGCTTATCTCCGATTGATTTCAAAAACTGCTTGAACAACCAATCAAAAGAGGGTTCTTTCTCGTTTAACACAAAATCACAACCAAACATGACATTCTTGTTATGATTATCCATACCCACAAACGGAACACAGATCATTCCATATCTGTTTATTCAATACGTTGTATCAAACACAAGCAAGTCACCAAACAAATCGTAATCCTTTCGCATTCTGCCATCCCTCCAGAAGAAAGTACACAGCCTACCCTGCTCATCACAGTCAAAATCAAAGAAGAAATCTTCTTCAGTTTCCTTCCTGTCCCAAAAAATCTTTATCAGCTGATTACAATCGCCACCTTCAAATCCAACACCAGGACGCTCATAATTGTAGGCATCTCTCAAAGTATACTTCATGTTCGGACTTCTCCCGTGTAATTTTGCCACAAACTTATATGCACCAACCAAAGGGATGCCACTCCTTGTCATGTCTCTGATTATCTTCATATCATTTTCATCTACTTTACATTGAGATCGAAGAAGTCCAATCATTTCATTTGGCACAAGATCATGATTGTGATCAACTAGATGCTTTGTACAGGTCCACAAGCCATCTTTGTCAACAGTAAAATGGATATAAGCTGGACACCCACACCGAAAATTAATCCTCTCATGGCACACATCACCATTTCCACCAGATCTCTTGTATCCTTCGTGGTTACAACAGAACTTCTTCATCCTAACTTTATCAGTTTTACCTCTAAACTTCTGTTTTTCCACTCTCACACTAAAACCAATCAATTGGGCATGATTATTATACAAATCATAAGTTTCTTTCTCACTTCTTGCAGTCTTGCCAACTAAAGTAAAAATAGCCAAATCATTATTCTTCGTCACAGATGAAATTTCCTTGTGCAAGGCATCCCCCTCCACCATCACATTATCAATTCCCAATTCATTGCCTCTATTATCTTCTCCACATTCTAAGAAAAACAAAAGAGATGGTTGGATAACCATTACCATGCAGTCGGATAATCAATATTAACACAATGGATAAACAAATCAAAAATAAATTTAAACACATATAAACAAGTTAGAAAACCTACCCTTCAGAGCAGATGTAACTTCCATGCGCAAAGCATCATCCAGCATCACATCATCCCCCAACTCATAGATATGGTTATCTTTTACAAAAAATGAGACAAACAAAAAAACAAAAAATTTTAAAAAAAATCTTTGACCAAATAAATATAAACAACTCAAAAATGTTGGATATCCAGTACAAATCAGTTGGATATCCAGCAAATAAAATTTGGATACGCAAGTAAATCCGTTAGATAACCAGTACACATAAGCTGGATATCCAGTACAAACAAGTTGGATATCCAATACAAATATGTTGGATATCCAACACAGCATAATTGCTTATCCACTTCATACAACATTAACAAAAACAGAATTGTGAAAAAACTAGATTGACTATTCTCTCACAAATAGTACACTCTGAACTGTGAAAAAACATCAATTCAATATAAACAACTCAAAAATGTTGGATATCCAGCACAAATGAGTTGGATATCCAGCAAATAAAATTTGGATATGCATGTAATTCCGTTGGATAACCAGTACACATAAGCTGGATATCCAGTGCAAACAAGTTGGATATCCAGTACAAACATGTTGGATATCCAACACAGCGTAACTGCTTATCCACTTCATACAACATCAACAAAAACAGAAATGTGAAAAAACTAGATTGATTATTCTCTCACAAACAGTTCACTCCGAAACCTACACAAACCTGATTGCAGCTGATCTACAACAGAACTGTGACCTTGCGTTGATTTGCTGGCACAGTAAGATTGTTCGATGGATTTGCTACCACTACATTCCGCATTCATCAAGATGGAATCCTCAACGAGATAACTCATCACTCGATCTGAACTCAGCATATCATCAATCCAATCACCGTTTCGCCACTCTGGTGGAATCGGAACCTTTCCTCGATCGCTAAACGCCGTCGCCGTCTCAACGACTCGATCGCCACCGGCCGTGTCCACCTCAACGCCTCGATCGCTGACTCCCATTGCCGTCTCAACACCTCCATTGCCGCCGGCCGTCGCCCATTCCATCAGAAAGTTTTTCAAATTTGAATGAATTCGGTTATTTATATAACCCCGCATTTAAAAAGAAAAAAAGAAAGCTAAATTATAATAGCGGACTAACGCTATTATAAGAGAGTAAAGTACACGCGTATGGGGGACACGGTACCCACAGGTGTACCAGATAATTTGCCACAAAAGTCATGCTTTTCACCTATTAATAGGACTCTGGCCGATTAATTATATCACTTGCATGCCAAAGTGTAATAAAAATATGAGACCTTCCCATATCAACTCTAATCCGTGAATCGAATTAGCTTTTAAATCAAACTCCTTAACTATAGATAATATTCCATAATTATTCATGTCGACGGTTGATTATGTTCATATTCCCTGTTTCCTCCGATTTCCGACTTAAACGACTTGCGACTGCCAAAACTTCTTATTTGCGGGCCGGTTCATATCACTTGTTGAGCCGACACCAATGACGAAATCGGCGTCAACAACATGAAACATTAGTTTCAGAAGCTGGGTGAAGTAGGTTTTAGGAGAATAATTAATTTATAGGTTCATATCGGAGGAGGTTTGTTGATGTTCTTCTTTTTGATTACTATTAAGAGAATAATTAAAGACAATAAAAATGGGTTTGAATACTAACAAAGTTATCGTTTTCTTTACCGTTAGATATTCATTGAAAAGATGCATTTTATACTCGCATAGTAGGAAAAACTGAGTAATTATATATATTCGTTTGATGACTAATAATAGGTTTCAAAATGATTTCATAAAAAATGATATAAACTATGTCACTTTCTATCTGAAAATTATTTCTCCAGCAAAAGCAATAATGTATCTCAAAATGCCATAGAATTTCCGGTAAGAAATTGACAAGTATGTCCCAAATCAAACTGGAAATTAGACTTTTGTGCACTTGCATTATCTAGTTATTACAAAATAACATTTTTTACAGTTGAGTTTAAAATCTCCAAGATGTAGATTTAATTCAGAAACTAGCAAGATAATCAAATATATATATATATATATATATATAATAAACCTTTAATCCTTTTCAAAAAAACAGGAAAAAAAAAACCCATTTTTCCAACCTTTACTAGTGCAAAATCAATCGCTCAATCAGCTCTGTCACAATTGCAATTTATCCTTTGAAGGTCACCTACAAGGAATATTTGGTATTAAGCTTTAACCAAAACCTTCGATCGAAAGATTCTAATATATCGATCAATTTATTTATTTATTCAAGAATTCAAAATTCCTGACATAGATAATTGCGAATATTTTACTTCTTGAATTAGAATCAATTAGAATCTTGATTTGTAGTGAGGGATTTAGAGAATATAGTTTCGATTCTCTCAAAGTCACTTTGGGCTCCGATCTCAAAACTAATTACATATGAGTGGGGTGACCTTTGGTACTTATAAACAGGTGTCAGATCTTTCACGATACCAGATTCTTTGTCCAACACCTTCACTCAAGCCCAATGGGGTATTAGGCCCATTGAGGTTGCACAATACAATATAATTCACCAGATTTACTTCTGGGTCAATCCATAAGTCTGTACACACGACTACATACTTGAGAAATATGCCGGGTCAGTCCACAAACCCAAATATACTGTTGGGTCAGTCAACAAGTCTGCACACACAGATCCATAGTTATCACAAGTTCACATATCGTGGGTTCTGATAGCATGTCAAAGTCACCTTGGGCTCCCATCTCAAAACCAATTGGTTATGAGTAGGGTGACCTTTGGTACTTATAAACAAGTGACAGATCTTTCGCGACACTAATATGAGATTTTTTGTCCCAACAGATTCATAGAGTGTCCACATTCAACTCTGCATTATAAAACATTAAAACTCTTTCTTGTAAATCAAAGGTACATATTATGGTTTAACAAAAAAGGTACATATTATGAATGAGAAGTATGCCATCGCTAGATGAAAACTCAGATTCAAATCTGGTCATATAAAAGAAAGCGTACGTCATCTCATGCTCTATTATAATAGACACACAATTAATTAGTCATCCTTATTCTTATAAAATAACCAATTCAAATTATATTTTAATGATGAACTAATATTTTAATTGGCTAAGAGACTTCAGATGACATCAGCATCTTTAAAAGGGTTTAAAATAGTCATTAGATAAATACATTATTTCCAAAACAATTTCCAATCAGTCACACAAAATTAAAAATATGAAAATAACAACGACGTCGTTGAAAATACCAGAAGACGAAATTAAAAATATGAACATCAAAACGACGTCGTTTTATTTCGGACCAAAATAAAAAAACAGACGGAATAATGATGTCGTTTTTCTCCGTCCCCTTCGCCCAAACTGAAACACCTACACAAGGAAAAGTCCCTACCCCGTCGACATTTATTCCGCTTAAATCACACCCTCGGGTTCTTTAGTCCTCCGCCTCCACTTTTTCCTAATCCTTTCTTCATAATTTAGTTTATAGATATGGCCGCCGCTGGTGTTGAGTTCCGATGCTCCGTCGGTGGTTTGGCATGGGCCACCACCGGACAGTCTCTTGGTGATAATTTATCTACGTTTGGCGAGATCTTCGAATCGAAGATCATCAACGATAGCAAGACCAGGAGATCAAGGGGGTTAGGATTTGTGAATTTCAAGGATGAGCAATCCATGACGGATTATTGAGGGCATGAACGGCCATAACCTTGACGTCCGTAGCATCTCAGTCATCGAAGCTCAATCTCGCGGAAGCTGTGGTGGAGGGGGTGCCGGTGGGTTCCGTGGTCAACTCCGTGATGGCGGAGGTGGTGGTTATTGCGGTGGTCATGGTTTAGGTTTGGTTGATTGTTACTTTGTCACATTGGATTGTTGAATTGTTTGGATTCCCCTTTGCCCGCAGGAGTTTTGCTATTCATTTCGATTTTTTCATTATTGGACTACGGTGTTTTTATTTTGATTTTTTCCCCTTTAGTTTCAATGGCAGTGGTGATATATGGAGAATTGCTTCTGTCCGTGAAGTGGAAAAAGATTCATTGTTCCAAATCACCTCCTCAACTACGGGGTCTTAAACCCACTGTATGATCTCTTCCTTTTTTTTTCCTTCAATTTCGTAATTTCCTGGTGTTACTTGCTCCTTGAATGTTTATGTGGTCTAATGTGTGTAGGTTTTCAACTTTGCTAATGATTTTCAATTTTAAAAGTCATTTGTAAAAGTCATATGTAGTGTATGTGCTCTGTAATTTATACCTTAATTCTTATTTCGAGAATATAAAACTACTCCATATGCTTATTGTTGCTGTTTCGGATACAGTGTATATATTAGTACTTCCATCTCTACATGGAGTGAACTCAAGGTAGGGATCAGCTTATTGTTCCAGTTTAGACTTAAGATCATACACCGGTATACTCTGAATTGAATCTTCTAATAATATTACAATATCTAGCTTGGTAAAGAGTTTGTTTAAGTTTGTAATTATATGACAATCAGATATAATTAATCAATTTGTAAATTCGGCAATCCAATAAATTCAAACAATGGATCTTCTTGAGGGCTTTTCTTTCTATGAATTCTAAGGTCTCAGATTGAGAGTATCTCCATTTGCGGTCGGCGTAGAACTCGTCCTTGTATTTTTCCCACAATTTCCTGGGTTCTTCCGGAGAGCACCAAACAAGTACTATTGCGAACAGTGATCGCAGGCTGGATGCTAGGTGTGATAGGTATGCCTCTTCAAGAGTTTCATCTACGTAGTAGTCTGATTGTGGAAGTCCAAGGGCGAGTGCTGCTTCTCTAAATGTTTCGTGTGTTTTTGGGCACTGGACATGGGTGAGCAGCATTCTCATGTAATATCGATAGGCGTCTCTCGGGCTGACAGTGTACATTCTACCTATGACTCTACCCATTTGTCTTTTCGTCCACTTCTTTGACTGTTTATTCCACACAAAATGTAGTGGGAAATCTCTGTAGATCAGGTTTAGTTCTTGGGCTTCCGAACTTGTTCTATTTGTTTGAAGAATTGCGTTAGCATGGTTTCTGTGAGTTCTAAGCGGTTTGCAAGATCCGCCAGGTTGGTGTTGTTCTGGAAGCTGAGTATTTGCTGTCTGGGTAGGTGGACCTGGAGAGGGTATACTGCAGGGTTAACCCAAACAAGGGGAACTTGAATATCCTCCACATTGCTTCTGGCGGTCCGATCCAACGTCCATTTACGTAGTCTGTTATGTCATCCGCATCTGGATGTGCAACTTTATAAGCAATTGAGTCGTGACCCTTGTAGATGTACTTGTACATGTATTTCACCAATTTTACCGTGGAGCATATTTCAACGTTGATGTGGCAGTCCAAAAGTACCAGCAGGTACGGGCTGTGAGGAACCACCCACTTGTTGTTCAACCAGTGGTTAGGGACCTTGACCTTTGTTCCGTCTTTTCTCCTGCGATAGTTAGGGTATCCGTCGTCGCAATGGTAAGTGTGTTCCACATACGGTCTGGGGTACCGGTTCTTACATTTGTTGTCTTCGGGTTCTGTCCACAAGATCTGGTGTACATCTTCAGCGGCCTGGATAGGTAAAGGTTCTAATTCTACTTTGGGTTTCTTTTGCCCTTTTTTTTTTTAACTTAATGTTGATCATATTTTTATTTAACATTTCCTTGGGTGGTTAAATCGTATAAAGTGACTGTTGTGTTGAAGAAAGAACTATTATTTGCTTATTGATCTGTTTAATATCTATTGAAACCTAAGATAAATTATAAATTAATTCTTCTTTTCATTTCTCAACTATGATTTCCCCAAACTTGATTATCTTTGGCATTGTTTTTGTTTCTATTCCCTGCTCAAGTTTCACAGATCATGAAAATATAAATGAATTCCCCATATAGTAAAGATCACAGTACTAGTTAGTAAGTAATGCATCTTCGTCGATCAGGATAACACTTCTGTTTGTGGTGTTTACCTCTAAACCTCTGTACATTGAAGACTTGTCAAGCAAAGGTTACACGATTAGAATAATAATGATAGTTTTGTTGGAGGGAAAAAGAATTTTTTTTTTTTTTCGTATTTGCAAGAAATCCACCGTCGGCAATAATGACTAATCCCCCTCACTAAATTGTAGGCACCTCAATTGGTGGGACAGCTAGCCAAACTAATCACTCTCACTAAATTGTAGGCACCTCAATTGGGGGGACAGCTAGCCAAAGTATTTAAGGTCGCTCTATGTCCATGGCGAGGTTCGAACTATCGATCTATGGTTACGGGTGGAGGAGTCCCTTCCACTCCACCACAACCACTTTAGTTATCATTGAAGAATTTAACCTTCATGTTTCGACAAACTACGGCAGGGCTCTCCTCAAATCTTTTTTGGATTACTATCTTCTTTTGCAGCGTATGTCTTGCAAATAAATTTGACCACTTTAATTATTTGTTGGGCTCCATGGAAGTTATACTCCCCCGAAGTTTTCTCAAACAGTAGTATTTAATTTTGTTTATTTTACGTGGTTTAATCTAATTAAGTCTATAGCGTCTACCGATTATTATTATTAAGAAACTAGAAACTATCATTTTTCCTTCTAAGTATATTGTAGCCTATTTCAACATAATTAAAAGGACACGTGAGATTGTATGACGACGACGACACAACATATATATAACTTTACGACATGCTCTTGATGAAATTTTTGTGTGATGTAGTTCGAATTAAACCTTATATATGTCGTGATTAAAGGAACTCAAATCGTAAAAATGAAATACAATTGGGTGAAAAGCTATATTTCGAAGTTGACTTGTAAATTATGCATGATCGTGCGTTATTGGTTTTAATAGTTGACCAGATACTTGGTCCGGACGGAAGCCCCGGCGGCTCTAATGTTATCATTTACATTAATTACATAATTAATAATCAATTATTATAAAATAAAAGCCCCGCTTCAAGTATAATTGCTCTATAGATTAGTAACCATAGATCAATACAATCCAAATGGAAAGCATGGTTGCTTTCGGGAGGAAGCTCCTGCATAAAATATATTTAAGTCACAATATAAACAGAATTTCCAAGTATGCTCAAATCAGGAAATTGGATAGAGAAGACGTGATTCTAAAGATTTTAGTTTTTGAATGTCCAATACTTTTCATAGTGACCTGAATCACTTTAATAGTTGATATATGTGGTTATTTACCAGTACCTTTTTTTGGAACATGAACAACTAAAACAAAATCTCATTTCGACGTAGTAATTAAACTCTTTGACTTCTATCCTCTAATAAATTAACCAGACCATTATAACAATTGAAAAAAGAATGTCAGTATATATAAGCTTAAAACCAAAATAAGAAATTTATTCAGTTTTATTACTGCAACTTCTCAAATTTACATACTTTATCCATTACAATTTCTTTCACTGATGTCTCCTTTAACCATCTTCGACTCTTTTCTTCCTTCAAGCATTCTATCCATCCTTCAGCTTCAAGCTTTCATTGCTTCCAATAATAATCTGGGAGGCAGCATCCCTGATCGATTCCAGAATTGTCCATCTTTATTACCTTCAAGCCCGGTTTGAAATGATAGCACCATTACGAATGAGTTTGACGAAGCTAACTCCTTTCTTCACATAATAACCCTCATAAAATACAACAAATCAATTTGACAGCATGAGGTCAGTGGTCCAAATATAAAGTAAAACCAATTAAGCAAAGAAATTAGCAATAGTGGCAGAGAGTAATTTACCTTGTCTTTTATTGATATGCATGATGGCGAAGTCTGCAGTCCTCTTTACCCGTTCATAACATTCCTTGAATTATTGGAATATAGAAAGGCAGCTATAATTACTTCTGTAGACAGTTAAAAAGAGATTAATTGGATATGCTTGCATACTATAATTCAGTCAGTGAAATTAAAAAAAATAAATAAAAAAGACGATATCAAAACAACTTTTTATCAAAAAAGACGATATCAAAACAACAAATAAATTTAACAAATTGTGTTCTTCCCATACAAATATTAAAGTCAATGTTTATTGGAATGAGATGTATGTTCTAAAATATCTTACCCAGGAGCCACCGTCACCAATGGAAGCAATAACGCGCTTCTCAGGTGCCGACTGAGAGTAGCCTAATGTGGCACTAACTGATCATCCAATCGTTTCATATTGCATTTGGAATTCATACCTACAGTACCTCGAATTCTACTGCAGTTTTTACAGATTAAAAGAAAGGGTACCAAAACACAAAAACAATTCAATACTTACCAACGGCTCTTAAGAGCCAGCTGAAAAATAAGAACCTCATCATTATCATGTACTTCCTGGTCTTTAAAATGAAGTTGCTGCAACATGCTAAACTACCCAATCGATCCCAGATATATCTACTAATGTTACAGATTAGATAGCTTGAAAGGTCATCGCTCATTTTTCCTTCAACAAAGTAACCTTGTTAATGAGTTAAAAACATGCAGAATTTGAAACATGTATCAATCATGATAATGGTCATGACTTGTACCTTAAAGAACAACTCGAGCTCAGCATTAGCCAAAGGAATCCATCATGCATCTTTTAAAACATTCAGTACAGAGAGGTTCAAAGGCTTCCATTTGCTGTTTCTTGTTACCTGGAGGGCTAACATTTTCTTTTCAAAGGTAGTACCCGTAAGGTTTAGTGCAACCTGTTCAAAAGGTTGTATCCAATTTGTTGCTCCTTCCGAACTGCGCTCTCCCCATAAAAATAACATTCATACATATGAATCCTAAGATATACGAAAGTTACCCACCCTTATATCGTTCATGGAATTAATAGTCATTCAAACATCCGAAAGCAAAATCAAATCAGTAAAGAACAAAAAACTGATTTTCAAAAATATCAATATCACTTAACGAAATCTATCACAGATCACCATGTTCTCACAATTCAGTCCTAAGCATACTTGAGCAACATAACCATATAAATCACACAGTCTAATTAGCTTCTTTTTGATGAAAAAAAAAAGAAGCCAGTAACCCAAAAATTTTGAAACTTTCATGTAGAATTCGATAAACCATTATTAAAGGGAAAGCCAATAATTTTTCGCTGCCAATTACAATTAACAATAAAAAAAAATATTACACCTTCTATAAAAAAACCGCAAATCCATGCATCATTATTCAACAAACCATTCTCCATTTTCTAACAAATCAAATAATCAAACCCAACAAAAGATTACCTTGAAAATCTTCGTACATGCTACCCGTAACCCGATTTCGAATCTCCCATTGATGTAGCTCGTCACTTGATTAAATATGCCATCTTGTAATTTTCTTCTCCAACTCAATAATTTCAACAGGGCTGGGAATTTGATCTCAAAATTTACCCAAGAAAAAAGATAATTCGATCTTAAAAGATTTGTATGCAGGATTGCAAATGAAAGAGTGATTACCAAAAAGGACCTTGATGTCTCAATCGTAGCTGTCGCCAATCTGTCATCGCCGCTGCTGGGTCGGCGAGATCTATTTGAGGGTTGTTGATGTCACTGGATCTACTTTGAGGGCTGCTCATGTCGGCTAGATCTTCTTTGTTGTTGTTTATTTCTTGTGTTGTTACTTTGCCCTATTGAAGAAGAATTTTCCTTTTTCGATAATTGAGGATGATTGCTGGCCCTATTGAGGATGATAATTGAGGTCTGCAACATGATTAAACGTCCTTCAAAACCGAAGAACAATATTATGGGTTGTTGATGTTTCGGCGTTGACATCTTCTAGGTGATATAATCGGCCTAAACAATTCACAGACAGAAAAGATTGCAGAACATATCTGATCCTCAGTTGTTTGAAATTGAAATTAGGGAATATGATTGATGGAGCTATTTTAGGGAAGGATTAGCACGCGTTGATTTTGAGTAATTGAGTAGCACGAAGTCAGGATTTAAAATTTACCTTCTTTTAATGTAAATTAGGCTATTTTCTTTAATTTTGGAAATCGTGGTTTGTGGAGCCATTCTGTTGACGATTTTATCACAAATAACTGTAATAGTAAACTCCCTTAAATTGAGAAATTATGTGCTTTTATACCCTGAATAAATATTTTCAAAATTCAAATCATTTGTAATAAACACATACTGTAAAACATAGGGTGCATTATTACAGTTGTAATTTTTCTTGAGCATAGAAGAAGCCACGTGTCAGATTTATATATCTTCTTTTTTGTACTGTAGAAAGGTTAAGGAGTTTTAGAGGGAAAATTTTCATTCTGGTACTGACATGTATCAAAAATGTTTATTGCTTTAAGTAAGTATACTAGATGTGATTAAAAACATGAACATTGACGGATCAATTATCTGAATGTGTTTATTATTATTTCTTCCTTATGTTTGCTAATATGAACAAAAACCAACAACAATCATTACACTTTAATTACATGTCGTTGATCTCTACTTCCGCTTTGCTATCCATTTCGTTAAATCTACTCTAATGAGTCTTGATGTTGTCAATTTTTGCTTTCCTTTCTAACAATATATTTTTCAAAATTCTAAGAAATTCATTTTCTTCATGGTTTTCTGATCAAACACATTAGGGACAAAGTTTATGTTAAAAAAAAGTAAAGAATAGTACAAAGATATTGCCGAAATTTGTTTATTTTTATAAATACAAATTGGTCGCGCAACGCGCAACAAAAAACGACCTAGTTATAAAGAAAAAATTACCTAAAAAAATAGAGGATATTAATTCAACAATGAGTTGTAAATTAAATGTAAACTGAATATGTAAATTACCCATTAAATGTATTATTATTTTTTTCTCATTAAAGAAACAGCACTGCAGAAATGCACCCAAAATAGCAATAAACTGAAAAAAGTGACAGAGAAATGTAGGTCTCATAATGGCATTAAAATAATGTAAGGGAATAGTCCAAATATCGAACTGAAGACATTATTTCTGAGGTCAGAATTAGATGGGCAAGACTGCATTTCAGTTTCACCAGTTTGGCCGTTTTCTGATTTGGGGTTTATTTACTCTTCAAACATCATCGCTTTGGTGTCATATTGTACCAATATTTAATTAGCAGTCTTTAATTATTTCTTTTGGCTATAGATGGACGGTGTGACGTGCATTTCTTAAACCTTAATAATTATTCGTATTCAGATTTTGAATGGTTGCAAGTATTGTGTTTTTTAACTTTGGAATTTGTTTATATCCTAATTAATAAAAATGAGTGATGGATTAGTCTTGGAAGGGAGATGATTCTGCCAAACAAAATCTAACATCCAGTGTAAAATTTAAGTGAAAAAACATAATTACTCATCATAAAAATGGAAACATTTTTCTTCATCTTCTTCACCTCTTGCCCGCTCCTCGAACCCACAGAGTTTCGTGGCCGCCGCCGCAAGGGAAAACCAAAAGAGCAAAATTTTTGAAAATTGTCTTATTGATCATTCCCAGAGTTTTTGCCTATCTTATGGAGAGTCTTATGTTTTCATTCTCCATCCCGAAAAAAGAGAAAAATTAGTTTTTTTTTCCCTTAGTATTACATGTTTCAATCCAGTTAAAGCCAATAAATTCGGTACGGAAACAATCGAATAAATTATTTGTCATTAGTAAAGAATCTTCAAATCCCAATTACAAAACCTTTTACTACAAACAAACAATTTGGAACAGTTTTCTTATTTATATATATTTTTCTTTTGCAAAATTGAGGATGTTTTCACGAAATTAACGAGCTCTCTTTCCTTCTTTGTGCAACAATACACATAGAATTGGATGAGTTTTATCTAAAATTGGTTAAGAATGCTATATTAATCCCAATTTTTACATTAGTTGAGATTAATCCTATCGATTCAGGCTAATTTGTCTAAAAAATTGCATAGGGTTTCCTCATAACAACACCATGTAGAATGAAATTGAACATCATTGGCAGAAAGAAAAGGAGGGACATTGGGTTTGAGGAGGGGATGTCAAGACAGTAAACGATGATCATTAATTAAGAGGGACAATTGTGTCTTTTTATACTAAAATTATTTTGGATATTAAAAATTGTTTTGGCAGGATCACTGGCCAAACATTAACCACTGAATTTGTTCAAAGCTAGCTAACAACACGTGCTTCTTTTGGGAGAATATAAATATATAAGAAGAGACTCTTATATTTGATTCAACTTATAGGATGCGTGATGTTTGAAATTAATCAAGAGTTGAGAATATGACAAATTAAATAAAGTTTATCAAAATACATATTGCAACTAAAGTGGTTGTGATGGAGAGAAAGAGACTCCTTCACCCTTAATCATAGGTCAATGGTTCGAATCTCGCCATAGGCATGGAGCAATCTTAAATACTTTGGTCAACTGTCCACCCATCGAAGTACCTATAATTCAGCGAAGGGGATTAGTCACTGTTACTAACGGTGGACACCCTGCAAATATATATAAAAAAAGATGTTGCCGATCATAAAAAGTACACATTGAAATCCTAATATGAACGGTTAAAAAAAAATGTTGCCGATCATAAAAATTACACATTGAAATCCTAATATGAACGGTTAATTTTCACTTGCAGCTACTAATGATTTTGAGTGTTCAAATGACATCGAAAATTTATCACATTCTCTCTATTTAAAAAAATTACATTGTGATTTTCTTTTCTTTCATACATATATTCAACTATTTTTTTTATTGGCTAATAATGACATGTTATAAGGGATACACGTATTCTTCGAGAAAAATAACTTTATATCAGTGATATTGGGAGATGTTTACTCGAATTAATCGTAAGGAAATTTTAATATTTGAAAATATCTACTCGAATCGTATGGAAATAAGTCTTAACTAACCATTGTGTAGTACGTGGATATCGAAGATCAATTCATGGTTTCATTTCATTATATTGTACTTTGAAACCCTTGAATAATGGTTCCTTCTCAAAAAGAAAAACTAGTTCGATTTAACAAATAAAAAATATAAATATAGAAACGCCATTCGCTATGAATCGGGATAAAATTAAGTCGACGACGTAACTCGAACACTTTAGTGCATTACAATTTGGAAAAAGTTCCACATGAACTGCTAACAGTGAAAAATCTACCCGTCGGTAAAATTTGAGGTGATAACAAAGCAATATTTGCAGCAACTTTGGCAGCATCATCAGCGGTATATTTACCTTTTCCTTTCGTCATTGAAGTCTGAGTAAAACCAGGACAGTAACAATTAACACTTATCCCAAAGTTCTTGTAACTTTTAGCTAACACGACCGAATATGCATTGAGGGCAAGTTTTGAAACAGCATAATCTGTCCATACTTGTGGCCATCCTCCATTTTTCCATTTCCCATTCTTCACATCTTCAAGAAATAATGTCACCATTTTCTCAATTTGCTTTTCCGACAAGTTGTTTTCGTCCATAAGCATTTTTTGTAGTATAGGATTTTGTAGTTTCTGTAACAAAAAAATGTGACAAAGATTAATAAAGTGTTTTTTTTTTCTATTTAAGAGATTATACTGTATAAGAGAGAATCGTAACTTACATTTAATAGTCCAAGTCTTGAACTAATGTTTATTATTCGACCCACAGAAGTCGACCGACGGAAGATGGGTAATAGAGCCTCAGTCAGTAATTTTGGTCCGTAAAAATTTGTTCTAATTACTGTCTCTGCGTGCTCCACCGAGTTCTCATCAATTTCATTGAAGGACACTCCAGCATTATTTATCTGTGTACAAACAAATAACCCAAAACCACAACAAATTAATATGTTATTTTACACATTGTTGATTAAATCAATTTTTCCTTTCATCCTCACTCAGCATGTATTAGCACACACATACATATGTCAAGGCTGTCAGCCTATCATTTGGATATTTATGACGACAAAATATTGGATACTCCAATTTAGATTCTTGTGATGATAGTCGTTGAAACCCTTTTGCTATTCACACCCAAAACAATTAAAAATAGTGCTCTTTCCATTTGATAAAAATAATCCACTGGTTGGGAAGGTTGGGTAAGGTGGTTAGAGGATTAGGACGAAAATAGTTATTATCAGGATGATTCTCGTTCGAATCATTTTTTTTTTCTGAAAAAAAAAATCGACTTAATTTGTTATGTTATTTTAGTTTAATAAAATAGACTCTTTTTTTTGGGCACACGGATTTAAAAAAAAAAAATGACACCTAGATTGGTTGCCAAACTTGATAGTAGGTGATGAAATATATATATTTCAAGTCCACACGATATGATCAATAAATTAAGAAACTCAAGAAACAAACGAATTAGATGTCTCACCAGAATGTCCAATGCTGAAAAGTTGACTTGAAACCAAGATGCAAACTTTGTGATGGAAGAAGGGTTCGAAACATCAAGGGGAAAGAAATGAACACTATTACTAAGTCCAATGGATTTGAGGGCTTCAACAGCTTCTTTTCCCCTTGAAGAATCTCTTGCTGTTAGAATCACAGTTAATCCCAATTCAGCCAGCCTTTTCACCAGTGCAAAACCAATCCCTCTATTAGCTCCGGTCACGATTGCAACCGTATCCTTTGTCCACCATCTGTAAATAAAAAAAAAAAATCCAGTTTCATGTGATTCCATTTAATTTTTGGAACACTTAAAAAATTTGTATGCAAAAGTACCATAAAAATATATTAGCCTTTGAATGTCAGGATATAATAATTGGCGTTACCTTAATGTGGGAAGAGCCGTCGTAAATGATGGAATTTCAGCTGATTCCTTAGATGCCATTTGTAATTAATCTTTGAAGTAGATGATAAAACTCAGATTCAGTATGGAGATATGAATGAAAAGGAGAACAAAATGATAATGCTCTATTTATAGGCACATGAATAATCTCACTATTAAAAAAATGAAATGTGCTACTGGAAACAATTTAAGTTAAAAAAAGGTCTAAACTGAATATTTTAAACTAAAAATTCCCATGCCCTTTTTTTGCTGATTTAAAAATCGTACAGTTGGGACAGCAATGGTTTTTGAGTCTCTGAGAATAGAAATAAAATAATGCAAAGGAATGGTCCAACTAACGAACTGAAGACATTATTTTTTAGTGTTAGAAAATGGGTAAAACCGAAGTGAACCCAACATGTGCATCACTTCCCTTTGGGGTTTGGCCATTTTCTTCTCATTGGACTTCAAACTTTTTCATTCTCAGTTTCTTGACATAACACCAAGTCTTTATCGCTTTTTGTTAATCAGAAAAAAGAAATGGACGGTGGTCACTTCTTGGATTAGTATTCAGATTTAAAAACTTTCAGTAGTACTATTGTTATTTTGAACTTAGAATTCGCGTGGTATCAGGACGAAAGCGATTGATTAATTGTTCAAAATGTGTCATAAGCGTGCATTGGAGAAGAGTACTTTTGCCTTCCAAAAAAAGACTTGTTTGGATTAAATCTGAATTAATTAAGATAGTAACTTAGTACATAGTCACAAACTATACAGTACAGAAAAAAATTATACTGTATATTATTTCCAATTCGAGATAGTCCATCTTCATTGGTTGGAGAAACTTCATTTTGAACAGAGTAATTAAAGTCTACTTGCTGGTTAGTTCTTTTCTTGATTTACTCTTAACTAGTCAAGTTAACATTTATCTATATCTTCTTTTATATCTCCTGTTGATTTTATTATCTTCATTCTTTTCACTAATCATCTGTAAAATGCAAATACTCTCTTTGTCCCAAAATTATTGTCAAATTTGAAATTTCACTTTTAGTACAATTTGAACTAGAAATGAAAACTCAAACTGGACAATAATTATGGGACGGATGGAGTAATATTTTTGTTGATCTGTTTCAATCAAAGATTTGGATGTAAACATGGATCACACATTATTACGTTTAGTTCTATGTAGGTTAGTTGAAATAGTACATTTCTATAATTCTATTGCTATCAATTGAAAAGCGGGGGTGGTTATTAATGCGCTATATGAAAAGTTCAGGAGGTTGTTTGCAATTAAATTTATTCGGTTTGTTTTTAAACTTCTTTGCCAAGTAATAAACACAATTTGGGTAATTTATCCAGTATACCCGGGGCACAATACTCCCCCTCTTATTTTTTACATTACTAGTCTTTACTACACTTTTTTCTACTTTTCTAATAACATCCTATAATTTACAGGTTTAGCCCCTTTGATTTTTTTTCTCTCCTTTAAAAAACATCTCTAATCTTAAAACGACCATATCTCATGATCCGTAAAAAATTACAAAACGTGTTATACATGAAAATTATAGTACTCGTCGAGATCTATCCAACAAGATCTATGTCGAATATTTTTTTCGAGTTTATAAATGACTAAATTTCGATGAGCAGAATAAGATGGATATCTAGTTTAGAAACATGGATAACCAGTTTAGTTTAAATTAAGATTCTTGTATTGCATATATCTCTTGATTCGTAAAGAATTAGAATATAAATTATATATGAAATTTATAGTGCTCGACGAAATCTATCCGATAAGATTCATGTTGAATATTTTTTTTGAACTTTAGATGCATTTAAATTTTACGGGAAGAAATGAAGAAATGTGTTTTTCGTTTTTCTTTGAAAAATGGTTATCCATTGTGTTCCAACTGATTATCCAACCAGTTTGGACTGATTATCCATTCTGTTTGTACTTGTTATCCAATCATATTTTTGACATTAACTCTTCAAAAAAAAAAAGAAAGAAAGAAAAAATGATTGGATAATCAATAGAAAATAATTAGATAATCAGTGCAACACGTTGGATAATCAGTACAAAAAAATTTGACAATCATTTTCATAAAAGAGCAAGGAAAAAAAAATACTGGATAACCACCACAAAGAAGTTGGATAATCAATATGAACACATTAGATATCCAATTTAAGAAGATGGATAACCAACTTATTTTGAATTAAGAAGTTGGATAATCAATATGAAGTGGATGGATATCCAGTACAAACGAGTTAGATATCCAGCACAAACAAGTTGGATATGCATACAAACCCGTTGGATTACAACTACAGAACAAGTTGGATAAACATATAAACTAAATTGATGGATATCTAGTACAAGCGACTTGGATATCCATTTCAAACAAGTGGGATATCTATTACAAACAAGTTGGATAGACATACAAACCAAATGGATAAGCAGTACAAACAAAATGAATAACCAGTTCAAACTGATTGGATAATCAGCATAAACACAATGGATAACCAATTTAGAACAAGTTGGTTATCCATCTTGTAAAACTGGATATCCACCTTTATTCTGTCCATCAGAATTAAGCCATTTTTAAGCCCGGAAAAATATTCACTATGAATCTTGTTGGATAGATCTCGACGAGTACTATAAATTTCATATATTATTCGTTCACAAATTCTTCACGGATTGAGAGATATGCTCGTTGAAAGATTAGAGATGTTTTTTTTTGGAAGAGAGAGAAAAAATGTCAGGGACCTTGCAAAATATAGAAAGATTGATAAAAAAATTACAATAAGGACTAGAAATGCAAAAAATAGGAGGGGGTACACGATGCCTCCGGGTATACTGGATACAGAATCCCACAATTTGAGTAGTGCAACAAAAAGATATTTGAACAATTAATAAATTTCCCTACACTCCCAAACATGCATTTACTTGGATCAAGCCATGAAATGACGAGAAACCTTGTCTTTAAGGAAGAGAATAAAAATTGGACATTGCTATATACAGTCGGAAAAATTACACATTTACAGTCGTTTGGACATTTTTGCCCCTGAGTACTACAAGAATACTAAAACACATACTTTGAAATTTTCTTTCTCTTCTTCTTCAACTTCTGAAGGAAAAAAAACCAAAAAAAACATACTGTCAAACTCACATCTACAATAATTTGGAGTTTAAAAAAATGACGTAGCAAGAGAATCAAGCACCGGAAGACTCGGCTCAAATTTGATAAGTTTTTTTTGCCAAAATTCAATATATGTCATGAAAAAAAAAAACGTTCTGGATAGGGGTAGCCGGCGGCGCTCGGCTCCTTGTGCTTAGCTAGCCGGTTTTGACCAGGCTAGCTCTTAACGGGTAGCTAGTTTGCCGCCGGCTACCCCTGACCAATTTTTTTTTCGTTTTTTGAATTATTTTATGTTATATTTATTTTAGTTATTATTAATATTTTTTTTAATAATTAGTTTGTTTGAATGAATAGGATCAATCTTTATTGTTTATATTTTTTAATTTAATTAAAAATAAATAAGTATTATTAATATTGATTGTTTATGTAAATTAAATTTTATTTAGTGGTAATTACATCTTTTATTGTATTTATTAATAATAATTGTTAGTGTGTAATAAATGTAATTTAATTTAAATTATATTTTTATGCAACTGAAATTTAATATAGTGTTAATTGACTATCATGTAAGGTAATTAAATTTAAATTATAAATTATTCACTAGGTGTGTTTTACATAATTTAATATACTTAATTGTGTAGTTATTTTTTTATGTATATATTTAAGTTTGTTAAATTTGATTATGTTTCATTACAGGATTATGGTGGTGATAGTATTGACTATAGTTCTTATTTCAAAACTCGCATTAGATTCGATACTCTTGATGATGCTGTAGAATGGGTGAGACAGACTGCGAAATCTCTTGGTTTTAAGGTTGTTATTGCGTCAAGGAGAAGTGAGACATCAAAATTATTGAGATGTGCAAAGGGTATTTCCCCAAGAGAGACGGAGAATAAGGAGCGAAGTACGAAGTCGCAGTGTTGTGGATACTAGTTCCAGCTTATAGCCGAAATGCGGGAAGATGGTATTTCATTTGACATTCATATTGTACCAGGTCCTAAGGATACGCATAACCACCCGTTTGGTACATTTAGGGAGGGACAGAGGCAGATGAGTGGGATGAGCGATAAAGCGAAGGAGATTGCTACGGAAATGTTGAGGTTTGGAGGAAAACCAGCTGCAATGGTGAACCGAATTAATGCTGAATTCCCTGACGACTACGTTGTCCCCAAACAGGTATACAACTACAAGAGTAGGTTGCGATTGGACAGCTTTGAGGACAGAACTTTGGTGGAGCAATTTTTTTATGTAGCTAAGGAACACAGCTATGTGATTTTTACAGATCATGATTAGGGTGTGTTGAGTAATATTTTCTTGGTACATCCAGTATCTGTAAAGATGCTCAGAGTCTACAGGTGGTACATTGGTATGGATACTACTTACGAAACAACCAGGTATATGATGTCACTGTTTCAAATGATTGGGATGACTCCAACCAATAAGAATTTCTTGATTACATATGCAATTATGAAGGATGAAACGAGTACGAGTTATGATTGGGTAATGAAGCAGTTACGGAATTTGATTGGGTGGGAGGTGCATCATACGGCCATAGTGACAAACAGGGAGTTGGGACTAGTAGGTCCAATCAGTAAGTGGTTTCCAGAGTCTGCACATCTTCTGTGCGGGTGGCACATCGACAGATGTGTTGTGGCACATGCGAATAGTTATTGTGGTAGCGAATTCACAATTTGGTGGATGGACAATCTATTCAGAGAGATACTTCTAACTCCTACTCAGTATGAACATGCAATGGCTATATTAGGGATGAAGGCGTACAGGTACTCAACTGCTGAAAGTTAAGGAAAGTTGGTGAAGTATGTCGAGGACACTTGGTTAGTTCACAAGAAGAAGTGGGCTCATGCGTGGACAAATGAGGTGACACACTTGGGGAACAACAGTAATTGTAGGATAGAGGCCGCTCATAGTGCCTTGAAGCAGTTTCTTGAGACTTGAACCTACAGCTAGATACAATGTGGATCAAAATCCACAATGGGATCGAGCATGCTTTTACTGAGATTAGGTACATTATATTATTATGTTTTTTTATTTCACTTCGTATTACTAATAGTATTACCAATAGTATTAGATTAACAATGAGGATTTTTAATTTCAGGTTCAGTCTAGGGTTGTCGGTGCGACATTCGAATCGATCTCACCTTCAGTTTTCCTATGATCGTATAGTTAAACGTGTCTCACATTACTGCCTGGAAATCCTTGATAACGAGTTTGCTCGCATGCATGAACTGGGCGAAGATGTTTA